CCCAGCAGCCGAGGCCGCCTCAGCACCCCTGCAGGGCGCAGCAGCTGCAGCCGACTGAGGCAAGGCAGCAGCAGATGGAAGCAAGGGCGGCAAGGCCAGGCCAGGCCAGGCCAAACCCCGCCAGCCTGAGGGAGGAAGCGTGTAGGCCATCTCCCTGGGCAGGCAGCGAGAGCCCAGAGGCCCACGTCCGGCAGATGGGCCTGTGGCCGGGAGGACCAGTCAGCCAGGGAAACTGCAGGCTCCAGGAGGTGAGCTGACAAGGCCGGGGGCACCAGGAGCAGCTCTGCAGCCCTTGGAAACAACTGTCAACACGTGCGTGTGTGCGCACACACAGATTCTGCACAGCCATCAGAGAAGACCCCCCGACAGTCCTTAATTCCAATGGATTGTGGAGGCTGCATTTTATGTTCTGTATCTCACATCTTTACATCTCCCCTCCAGTTAATCATTCAGTTGTAAGAGCCACATGTAATGTCCACACCGGGGCTACCTCACTTGCATTGCTAGAATCAACATTAAAAAGTGCCCAAGTCTGAAATGCAAATAGAAACACAAGCTCTTTCAAGGCCTGAGCGGAGGTGAGAAACGCCCCGTGCCTCCCCAGGGCTGTTTCTTTCCCCCGGGGGGTGGTCCGGATTGTCAGCCTGGAAACACCTTGAAGGACTTGATCTGCCTCAGGCTGCTCTACCTTGCTGGCTGGGAGGGGGGCTGCCAGGACGGTGCCCGTGAGAGGCTCTGCTCTGGGAAGAGGCACTCAGGGGGCAGTGCTAGATGAGAAGCGGCCCCTTCTGAGCTGAGCCTGGCAACACTGCTGAGGAGAAGATGCAGGGAAGACTAGAAAAGCAGCCCAGCACCCCCCCCCCCGGCAGGCAGGGGTGGGAGGAGGCCAGGCGCGAATTTGGCACACCTTGGCAACCGGACAAGGTGCTCCAGCGACTGGCTGGGCCTCTGCCTGCCAAGCGAGGGCCGGGCAGCAGCGCTCCTCTTGGGCCGGCACAGATGCTTCTGATTTCTGTCAGCCGAGGCTGAAATACAGCCGTCCCCTTCCTCCCCGCTGCCTGTAGGAGGAACGAAGGCAGCCCCCAGCTGAGCCCCTGCCCCGCCTCCCAAGAAACAAACCTGCTGGGGCTCTGTCACGGCTTCGTCCGGGTTGAAGGGATTTTATTTCACTGGAAGGACGATGGAGACAAGAGGCACTCCTGAACAAGAGAAGGGCTGGGCCTGAAGTACCCGTAATAGCAGAAATCTGTGCTTTATTCGCAATGGGCAAAATATCCAAAGAGACTGCGGGCTGGGGGCCTCGTGTAAGAGGCTTCTCTGGGGCCCGAGGGTTTCCGGGAAGGAGGACTGCAAAGTGGGAAGCAAGTGCCCTTAATGCTTTCCTCTTTATAAACTCTATTTCTATAACATTATTAAAAATAAAATCAATCCTTGGGCCTCACATACCCTGATTGCACCATTGGAAAGTTTCTGACGGCCTCACCGAGCCAAGGCAGGATGGCCGTGTGCTGCAGCCCCCTGGCTTGAGGGCTGGGCGTTGGCCTCCTGGGCTAGTTGCCCAGGGCCAAGACGAAAGCGGCCTGGAGGAGGGCTGGAGCGGCCACCCCCAAGGCCCGGCCAGTGGGCCGCCACCCTCATTCCCATCGGAAGTCTCGCCCCACAGCCTCGTAGAATCGGATGTTGTAAGGGCGGTAGAAGTCCTGCAGCTGCTCCAGCACTTCTGGGTCAATCTGGACATGAGGCCGCCCTTTCGACTTCCCCAGACAGCGTGGCAGCGTGCTTCCCCCCACCTTCTTCAAGCACGGGAAGCCCTTGGTCTTGTTGAAGAAGAAGTGCTTCTCGGTGATGAGCCGCTGGAGGCCCAGGAAGTCCTGCACTTTGGCCATCTCCCCCGCGGGGTCCGTGATGAGCCGCTCCCCGCTGACGAAGTGGATCTGGGAGAGCGGGAAGTACTGGAGCCAGCTCTCCAGGTGCACCACGTACAGGCCAATGCGGATGGCGCTCCAGGAAGTGTCCACCAGGCCCAGGCTGCGGTTGCGGAAGGACAGCCCCTCGAAGGTGGGGATGTCTGGCCGCTTGGAGAGGGTCTGCGTATAGTCCGAGATGGCCCTGGTGACGGGGTTCCTCACAACCACGATCAGCTTTGTGTTCCGTGACATGTTGAAGATCCGCTGGGGGGCTTCCCTGGTGATGAAGTAACTGGGGGTCTTCTCCATGGTGATCTGGGTCTCCAGGGTGCGGGGCATCAGGTGTCTGCAAAGGAAGACCCCAAAAAGGTGAGAAGCAAAGGGGGGAAGAGGCACGACAGGAGGAATCCCCCCCACCTCAGGGTCTCCACAAAAGAGATTCTGTGAGGAACACTCTTTGCGTCTTTGCTCTTCAAGGAGTAAAGGGTGCTTCCCTTGAGGCAGGCTGAAGAGACACTTCTGCAGAACTATTTCATTACATTATTTGTATCCTGCCTCAATCAATAACATAGCAGTTAACGCATAATTTGGAAAGCAATTTTAAAAATCCACAGTAGTCATAAAAACTAAACAACAATAAAATAACAACTCAGAAAACTAAAATAAACAACATAAAGGCAGGGATGACCCAGTATGGTTCAACCCCCCTGTGGCATCTTTCTAACACAATCAGGGAAGTGCCAGCCTGCTCTCCACAGGGGGACCGTGCCTCTTGGCCTCCGCTCCCTTTCCCTCCTGCTGTGCCACCTGCTGTGATAGCAGAAGCCACAAGTCTAGAAGGACCCCCGAGTCATGAACCTGCTCTTTCAGGGGTGATGCCTTCTGTCCAGAGATTACACTGGTGCCGATGGAGAGCCTTGATAGACAAATGTGCCTGCACCTTGTCTGGGTTCGGCTCCAGCCTATTCTGTCTCATCCAGACACTGACAGCCTCCAAGTACTGGGAAAGGTCACCAGCATCTCCCCTGGCAATATAAAGTTGGGTATCATCCACATACTGAAGACTCCCCACTCTAAACTGCACATATTAAAAAGCAGGGGAGAGAGGACCAGCCCTATGGATCCCTGCCAAACGGGGGCCACTGTGCTGACTTCCCCACCATTCCTTCAGGTCCCAACAAAGGTCATCACGGAGAGGGACCAACTTCATCTTCATCCCATAACTGGGCCTGAACCCTGATTGAAAAGGGCCCAGATACTCTGCTGTTCAGTTTCTGGAATCCATGTTAAGCCTGCGTCCTGCAGATACTGCAGTTTTAGCATTCAAGAAATACCTAGTCTGAAGAAGGCAACTCAACATTTTCTCAGTATTCTGCAATGTTTTGATCAATCTTACAAAACCTTTGGATGTTTTTCTATGGACCAACATGATTTATTTTCAAAAAGGTACACTGTAAACTTTACCTACTTATTAAGAATAGCCTCCTTTAAAACACAAATAAAAAGATACATTTTCACATATGGATATGTTCCTGTGACCTACATAAAATGGAAGTAACCAGATCCAAATTAATTACATTTAGAACAGACCAAGTGAAACCAAAAGGGCTTACTGTCAAAAGGACTAGTGACTTTAACGGTTCTGCTCTCAGCATCAACTACGTATGCCTTCTGGCAGAGAAGGCGTGCTGCGAGTCCTGTCTGCCAGGGGATTCCATTTGACGGGTCCCAGGAGGCGGGCCTTCTCTGCCGTGGTGGAATCTTCTCCCCCCAGGACTGAGATTGGCCCCTCCCCTCTTAACATTCCACAAGTCCCTCAAGGCCTGGCTATGGGGTCAGGGCTGGGGGTCCCAGGGGACTGGGGAGATTTTGCGATGGCTCCCTTACTGTGGTTAACATCATCCTCTCCTGTTGTGTTTTTATAGTTTTAATGATTGTTTTATATGTACTTATGTGTTTTTAAACTGAGTGTTGTACACTGCTCAGAGTCACTTTTTTATGAGATGGGTGGTTATACAAATATGATCAATCAACCAATAAAATAAATAAACTGTTAATGTACTTTAAACTTACGCTTAAATACCAAGAATTCAGGTAAGAGAATAATGCAGTTAGAAGAAAATACGCTGAAAGTTGCCGGCCAAAAATGGTCGACGCTTCAGCGGTTCGAGTCCA